ATCATGTTATTGTATCTGGAGTCAAAATACACATGCAAACACAGAAATCTGATTATATATGCAAAATAATGCAAAAATATGCAGTGCATGTCAACCTACCCATTAAATACTTTTGAAGCCAAGTGTCTAAAATATGAGGAAAATAGATGAAAATAAATCCCCTTCAATACTTAAGTTTTGAACACTTGAAGTAATACATGATTTCATTTTTTGAATTTATGTGTTGCCTCTCATTCACTCTTTGAAAAGGTGGATTTGATTCATGACAAGAAAGACAGACCTTGACCGCTTCTGAACGTAACCTATTTAAAGTGCATTCTCAAAAGCAGTGCACAAAAATCAGAATATTGTATTTATTGCATACTGGTGTTGGATCATTAATTAAATATGCCTTATTATGACTATATATGGAAGAATTGTACACTCCTTTCATTTACATAAGTGCTTGCACTACCAATAGAGCAAATATGGTACTCCTTCAGGATCTTGCAGTTAATACATGTACATGCTTTAATGCAATAGAATATATGGAATTTCCAAAGTAAAAATTGATACAATAATAACTACCAGCATGTCTCTAATGGCAGTGCATCTAAACCAAAAATTGCATGTGTTGGACATTAAATTTTTAATATACTTAATTTTCTCCACGAAAACACACCTTTAATGTACATAAGCACACATGCTTCTAATACATGGTATCCACGTGATACCACTGAGACTGTAAAAACTGAATAGGTCTCAAACAGTCTGTTCTAACTTAATTTTAATATAATATAGAAAATTAGTTGTAATTCCTAATTAATTTCAAATTATAACTAAATTATGTTTTTTGTTTTTCAATTTAAATAAAACCAGAACTGTTAACTTATAACTTATAATATACATAAAAGTAAACATTTTATATGACAATTTTGCTAAAATTGTTTTGACTATGAATAAGCAGGAGAAACATTTTTCGAGATGTAGCATGAATGTTCAGTTCTTCAATATACCGGTATGTACATTGTACTTGTATATAGTAAAATATGGTGTGTATTTTACTAACACAGTCCCTAAGTATATATACATATACATGTACCATGTAATGATTTTTCACTGGCTTGCATAAATGTAACCCGACTCCAATGCGCTCTGCCTAGAAAGGTTTATTGAAATTTAATAAATTGTTCGATGAGAACCCTATTGTGCGACTTTTATTAATTAAAAAAAAAAACAATGATTGTAATGTTAAACTGTCTAATTATCATTATTTTGAACTTACATGCTTCACTTGTTTTAACAAATGCCTGTAAATTAGAGTATTGGGATGTGATAACATGTGTAGAATGTAGATATGTACATGTCCCAATAAACTTTGCTCTTATGCCCATTTAATGTGCACTCCAGCTGGTGACATGGTGCTCCAGTCAAAGTTTTATTATCGTGTATACTGTCTTCAAAGTTGCATTGTATCATATGTAGAACACATACCTCCCACTGATTGTTTACTCACTTTGAAAACACTTGGTTTATTAACAAATCTTGTAATATTGGAGCACTGAATCTAGCCTGCACCACAGACCCTCTAGAGGGACAATGCCCGCACTGAAGATTGTTGTCACCCAAGGCCACTTTATTTTAGGTAGGTTCTTAAATTCTGTTTCAGAATTTCATTAGAAAATATTTCTCATGAACTGTACACAATCCTAAGCCCTTTCTGATGCTTACAAGGCACTATGAGAGGTTTTTCACACATTAAACAAAGTGGGAATGCATTATAAAAGGTTTTGTTGGTTGCCCACATGGTGTCGATGATGATGATGATGATGATGATGATACCGGTACTACAATTAAAAAGTCCTGCAGTTTACTCACTTTTTTCACAAAATAGTCACTATTTCGAAAGATATTGGTGAAAAACTGAAATGTACCAAAAGAAGATGGACCTTCTTTTTTTCTCCAATACTGAAACTTTCTGTGAATAGACAAAATATCAATATTAACAAAATACCATGTCTATTGTTTGTTACATACATATCAGTTGTTGTTTGTGGTGGTCTTGTGCATATTAATACCTTCAAGTATTTGATATTGTGAGCAATAATGGTCAAAATGCATAAAATTAGTTGCGTTCATACTCGAAAATGTTAGCCTATGGTAAAAAAACATGCACAAATGCTTTTTAAAACCTGGTCTTAGCCACGGGTTAGCGAAGTGTGCATGAACGATTATCTTGAGTGTTCAAAACACCAGATTATTCAATTTTCATTTGGAAGATTTACTATTATATTTATAACTATTCATTTCATTATGCCATTTCAGACATGACAATCAATTCGAGCACATTCAGAGAAAATGGATTGACGATAACGATTTGTTCATTCTTAATAAGTTTGGGGGTCCTTAGTCCATGTGGTCAATGCTAAGTGTTGTTTCCTCCTGTGCATTAACACAATTGGGTGTAGCTACATGTATTATGTAGACATACGAGTTTAGCTTAAATCTTAGCCCATACTTGGTGTAGCTTGAACACAACGACTATCTAGGTTGTTACAGTGGAATACTTTATCCTATATTTTACATTCAACTCGTCAAAAATCTGTGAAAATAAATTCCATACAAAACACTCAAAAAGTCTATTCAGCGAAAATTAATTCCAGCTAAAATACATTATTTTACAGTATTCATTATTAGCCGGACTTGAGAATTTTAATCCTGACGTTTAGTTTGCAGATTAATTCAGTTTGTCCACTCACATCAGAGAATTAGGACATGTATAATTTGTACTCTACTGTGTAGAATGATATCAAATTAGTTCCCTTGTAGTGTATGACCTTTGATTTAATGTGATTCTCATCACTGACCTACATGTTCATTGTAAGTGGTGACAAATATTTTCATGTAAACAAGCGCCTGTAAAATAGGTCAGTCTTGAAAATAAGATTACAATTATTATTATTTTTCTGAATCATAACTTTTTAT